TCAGCTGCATGAGATCAGCAGCATGAGATCAGCTGCATGAGATCAGCAGCACAGATAAGTCACATATTACTAATTAAAGTGACATTACAGTGAATATATATATATAGTTATATAAATAGTTATATAGTACCGGTATTATATAATCCTACAATATTTCCTGAATTAAGAATTACTGTTATAGTAAAACTACAATTTTTAGCAGTTAGTTGGAAACAAATTATTCTAATTAGTTATTAATTAATTAATCATTCTAATAATTTTAACTAATCTGCCCATCAACATTCGACAGGCCACTTCAGTTGCTGCTTTTAAATCTCTCCTCAAAACCACCTGTACTCACTGGCATTTAACACAGTGTGATATGATTTAGTATTTCATTGTTTCTAATTATGTTTCGTGTTTTTATGCTTTTGTTCCTTTTGCTGCAATTGTATCTTGTTATTTTTATTTGATGCAGTGATTTTTTTTTTGTTACGCACTTTGGTGACAGTTCCTGTTTTAAATGTGTTGTACAAATAATTTGAATTGACTTGACTATAAGAACTGCAACAAAAAGAACAATTACAGACATGTGAGTGAAGGGATTCTCTCTAATAAGGTGGAAACAAAGACATTCTCTGTGTTTAAATTGGCTCATCCATGGAGGCACAGTCAACAAAAAGCTCTTCTATTGACTCACAATGCATAAAAATAGATAAATAGAATAATTTATAACAACAATAAACATGTGTTTCTGCTTTTCTATTATGCCATTCTTTCCAATAATGGTCCCTGCCACTTCACTGTTTATAGCATTGAGCAAGAGTCAGAGCTTCATCTTTGCCAAGTGTAATAAAAACTGAGCAGTAACTCTTTGAGGCATCAGAGAGGGGAGGTGTTGACAGATTTGTCTGTACAACATTTAAAACACTTCAGGTAACCTGCAGCCAGGTGTGCATGCAGGATCAAAATGCAACTAAATGTGTTATTCTTTTGCAAAGAATGTCTCAAAGAAAATGTAAAAAACCTGATGATTAGCAGTAATTTCTTACCCCGACTGATAGAACTGGTGAAGCTTGTTTAAGAAACAAAATCTGCAATCGATCGTGCTGTTCCACAGAAGTATAAGATGTAACATCGGGGAAAGATTTGTGAAGTTCATGTCAAAAGACAAGAGACGAGTGAGTTTGAATAAAAGTTTGATGGCTTTGCTTTGTGTCTGCAGAGCCAGGGGGAGCGTTTGCTGTCCAGGGATAACCCCCCAGAGGAGCTGAAGCAGCAGCCACTGGCTCTGGGCTACTACGTCTCCACTGCACAAGCTAACGGACTTCCCCACTGGTTCTGGGCCTCCTGCCCACAAGCCGAGAACCAGTGCCCACTTTTCCTCAAGGTACTTTAAAACACTGCGTGCACTTTTGAAGCCAGTGTGGTTTAAGAAAGAAAAACACAGATATGCAAAGCAATTTAAACAATCTTTAATAATATAGTTGATGAAGAGTATTAGCATTAATTACTATATTGGTTTCCCTTCAGGCTTCTCTTCATCATCACATCTCCATCGCACAATCAGATGAAATCACGTCTGAGAAGAGTAAAAGGAGCCCTCACCCCTTGGATTCAAAGACCACCTCTGATGTGCTAAGGTAAATTTTATTGCTTCAACCAAAACTATATATATATATATATATATATATGTGTGTGTGTGTATACTTTGTATGTATACATATGAATATATATATATATATATGTGTGTGTATATATATATAAATACATATACATATATGCACACATATACATATATATATATATATATATATATATA